ATGCATAATTGGAATAGGTGGCTAGTAACCTCCATGTTAGATTGGTAAAGTTAAATTCCCGCTTCGTATGATCTGTAAAAAATACTCTCACTGACCTCTGGAAGTATCATACTGGATTTTGATTGTGTACAGTTTATGAGAAATCAGTACAAGCTAGTTTCACTGCTCCAGAATTTCTGGATTTGTTGCCAAACCAACTGATCTTATAATATAAGTGGAATAATGCTTAGCGGGCATGCGCAGAACATCGATTACATTACGAAAATATCGTTTCACGAACTTTTTGAAAACCATGTTTAATAATTTGATCGTGTATTTGTTAACAACACACTGTAGATGAAACTTAAATCATCGACACGATTCTTGCTTCAGAAATTACCGAAAATGGTAAAAAAAATTGTCGCCTAGTAAACATTGAAATGCATGTGTGTATAATAAAAATCATTTACCGTAAAGTTCATCGTAGTAAATTGTAGATATATCATGTTTAAATTGCCCACTTTTGACTAAAACGTCATTAAAATAATGATAGTTTACTTGATTTAGTCGCACTTCCAACCTACGGAAAACCCCTCTTTTCAATCTCATAGTGTTTAAAATGTTAGCAACAACGAACGATCATGGAAGCGCTGGACGACTGACAGACAAAAAGCAGTCCGTCTGTGTGTAAACAAATGGAAATATATGTATGTTACATTGCCCTGAAAGCACTATACAAAAAAAAATTTTTATAAAATATAATAATAATCAAATATTCAACAATGACCAATATTTTACGTTAAATGTATATATATCATCCTTTTTTATTGAATCTTATTATTACAATAACGAAATGAGTCAGTACGACAAATATTAACATTTTATCAAAGTTATACGAATGTAATAGAAATGTGTACAAATGTTGCACTATCACGCGTGAATATGGACCCTGGATATGAACAAACTGGCTACAAATATGTACGAATATGTACGAGACTGTACGAATGTGTACGACTGTTATACGAATATGTCCGACGGTGTACGAATGTGTACGAGACTGCAAGAGTGTGTACGACTGTTATCCGAAATGTCCGAGGGTGTACGAATGTGTGCGAATATTTACAACTGTTATACGAAAATGTGAATGATGATGTTTACGAATGATGTACGAACGGTGTGCGGGGTCGTATAAATATGTGCGAACGTTTTACGAGACGTACGAACGCTGTACGAATGAATGTTCACGAACGCTGTGTGAATGTGAATGAACCAGAGTACGAACGTCCTAAGCGAGTGTCCGAATGTAATGAATGTGGCTCGTGTCCGAAATCGTAACATCGTTTCAATGACTTCCTACAATTTATTGCGTAAAAACTATTGAGAATTTACGTTTTCGTTGGCTATATATATAAAATGCAAATGTTATGATAGCAAACAGATGTTTCCATCGGCAGACGACGATTGCAAAACTCGATAATCTCTGTCGTATGCAGTTCTCTGGTTTACAATACTTGCACCGAAAACATCAAAGTTTGTCTAATCTGAAATACTCTTTTTTTTTCTCGATAAGCTGCCACCACGGCGGTCTATTCATAGACATTCTATTATCACTGCCAGGCGATATGATTCAAATGATTCAAACTGTGAAGAAATCGCCGTTACACGCCATGTGTTACATCCACCGTAATTGTTTACGTGATTCGGTTATTAATATTCTAAACTGTCGTCTGCTGACTATGGTAAATCGCAAAATAAAGCACTGACTCGTAAATCATTATTCCAAAACAAGGCATGAAAAAGACCCCCCGAGGGCGTGGTACAACTCAACAGCGGGAATACTAGTACGGCACAATTGTACCGCAAATGGGTTAATTATTTATGAAAATAAATATTGAACTTTTTTTAATGTCTGATCCCTGAAGGTCACATATTTTTGTATTGTCTGTGGGTAGTGTTGTCTTACTACAACATTTAGTTTCAATATTATAGATAATGTTTTGCCAAGTTCAAATGTTCTTGAACTCAAGTGACGAATGCTTGTATTTGAAGGGACCTGATTAAGAAAATTTCACTTGATAATGAAATTCTTCCTCTCTCACAAAGTACCATGCCTATTGAATAATAACGTTAGTTAAAGTCCCAGACTGGGTCAGGAAGTTTTTGTCGCACCGCGCATGTCTGGTATTTGCGTTGCGTTGATTTTCCTGCAGTTCAATGCGCTCTTCTAATGGAATTTACAAGTATGACTTGAGCGCGACGTGCACTAATCATTACCGCCGGTGACTACTTCGATACCAATCACCAAAAAAATTATGTAATTAAAGCTTGGTAATGTCTGTGCAACAGTCAAAGTCGCCATCTTTCAAGTTGTCCATATGAGACCCATATCTCGCGCATGCGTGGTGCGCGCATGCGTGGTGAGACGGCAGACGTTATTCAGTAGGTATATATAATATATTAGTATTGAGAACACACATGTACCTCATAGTCACCAGAATCGACCCCGTTCATTAAAAGGGGCTCTAAATATAGCTGGCAGTGTAGTGGGGACAACTGTGAGGGCATCGGCTACTATGCAGTGTGAAACATTATGATACGTGCCTCGTCGGTAACCCTTCTTGTGTTGGTATGCAGAATTCATAACGGTATTTTTGTCAGAATTATGGTTTTATCTACACCATAATATTGGAAAATACTATAAATGCGAAACAAAGTAACATAACTTTCTGCTACTTAAATCGGCCACGAGAAGGTTAATGACCCATAGCCATAGACTGCCGGGTAATCCGTAAAAACAAATAGAAAGAAGGCAAGGATTTTATAACAACTTATTCAAGAACACTGGAAAGGAAATCACATCATTCCTTTTATGTCTCCATCCATTATTCATAAAGCATCCTCTCACTGCGGACTAAATCAGGACAATTCAGTCATTTAATTTAAATACACTGCCGCTTTCATTAAATTCATGGCAGCTCCTTTCTCAGGGATGTAGCACTTGAAATGTTGGGTATGCTAGGAAGATTACTCAAATCAACAATTGTACACCTGTTTGCACCCATGAAGAAAAACAAAATTCATCTGAGGGGAAATCCAATTTAAATTTGGGGGTGGGCACTCGAACATAATGATCAAGCAATGTTTTCTTCCCCTTTCGTGGATTTAAAATGATCTGCGGTTCTGTACATGTGATCAATGATAGACCCGTTATTTACACATTAATGTAACTAAAGTTGGTGTTAACTCGGGCGCACATGACAATCGTGTTGTGCCGACAATAGTATTGAAACCATATTCCCAAAACATGGCGGAACAAAAGTCGAAAATCTGGTTGCTTGGTGGAAAGTTTCTTAAAGCGGGGGAGTCGTCACCTGTGCATGCGCAAGATGGTCATAGTGTTTACATACAAGCGTCTACCCATGAGCCTTTGCGTTTTTAGCGTGTGTTGTTAATATCGCTTAGGACTCAATTCCCGCGCGTGCGCTGGTGACGACCCTTCCTCTTTAAGGGCCTCATATTTTTGGGGTCAGGGGTCACTGGTTTTTCACCCACTGCCCGTCCACTTATTATCCTGGATTATATTTACGTCTTCCGAGTTTGGATTCGTCGATTTCGAGAACTGTTCCTGATCCTTTTTCCTTACTAACATAAACCTAAGAATGTTGGTATATACTAGTATATCAGCGAAATACAGGCATACTATTATTTTGCAGGCACATATCAACACAAATAAAAACCCGTATTCTGATCACAATCAATTTAATTGCCATGAATGTGATAAAAATCGGGTAAAATCTAAATACATGTACTATACATACTCTCGCGCAACGAGTGTTCACAAACAATGCATTTCACATTTACCTTTATTTATTAACACATAAATCCCCCAGAGAGGATGAAAGGTTACAAATCAGATATTAGTAAAAAGAAAATAACTACATAAAAAGTAAAAAATGCATAAAGAAAAAATAGTAAAAATGTGTATACAAGGGTTGTGTACGTCTTTATAAAAGGCAGTTGAATCCAATCAGCCAACCAACGAGCGCACTGCGCAATGACACCGCACTATTGCGCAATATTGCATCGACATCGGTTCAGTTTGAATCGTTCGTAGTGCATATAGTATCCCAAAGCTGCATTATATCAAGCCACGGTCTGTATTGGATTACTTACGTATGCCTATCTGATTGCATGAACGATCGTTGAAATACATGCATTGCCAGGGGTTACGGGTACAGTCATTTACAACCGATCTTAAGATGATTCTATCAAAACGACACATCTACAAGGACGAATTTAAAATCACATTTACTGCATAGACTGCTTGATATGGTCGATAGCAAAGCACTTTCAGATATAGTCTACGGACGCCGAGCCAGTCACATGACTGTATATTTACATTTCGTACCGCTCAACTTTCTGTGGATAACGTTTTATTTCACGGCTTCCGGGGTTTCTTATCGTAAAAAGTGTCTTGTCGTAAATCATTATTAATTGCCGCCAGGGATTTACTTTTCTTGAGTTCACAGTCCATTAAGGATTCAATAAATCACAGCTGTTTATGGCCGCCATTTCCAAATGTATGTATGTTGAGAGGGGGTGTATTACGCTAACCGAAATTGATACATTCTCTAGAAATTCTCTTAATTATTTATTTATAAATTTAATAAATTATATTATTTAATTTGGTGGCCCGAATACTTCCATATTCTCTAGCTCTGGGGTTCACTTTTGTTATGAGACAGTCGCTCTATATCGAACTGTGGTTATTAATGTCCACATGTTTTCAAGTTACCTTGTTCCTGGTTGACGTATGGGTACTGATTACAACCATGCTATAATGATGGTAATGCGCTCTTGCCAATTAAAACATGGTACACCGTTGTACACCGACACATACGAGACAGTAGCGACATTTAACACTAGTAGTCCTTTCATCGCTCTGTCGTAAAAAGGGGAGGTTATATGTGTCGTTGACTCAACAGAGCTCCACACTCCATACGATATTGTATTGTAACAACATGCCGGCAGGTAGATCGCAAACTTATGTTTGTATAGTCACCCCAACAGAGTTATTAATATGCGTTGTTATATTCCTTTGTGTTTAGATTCTATTGTATGGTGTCTGCTGAATTGTACTACTATGTGTCGGCAAGTTTTATTTAATTCAAGCTACGGCCCGGGTTTATCGCGTTCTAAACGCAATGTTACGCTCTACTCCCTTGCTCGCAGCGTGACGTGTTATCCTCTTCGTATGATCCATTGATCTATACCCGACTGTACTGGGATCATTAACCCAAAATGCGAGATCAAACAAACCCCAGACGTTTTTATATTTAACAAGTTAATTACTTATTTAAGGTAGCAACAGGGTGAAAACGAGTTAGAAATTAATCTGTGATTCAGACATTCCTTACCAAGCATGCTACTATAACAACCCATGCTTCATCTGAAAGTTTAGATATATGTGAATATCATTGACGCTGCAGGCCGGCGACTTCTACGCCGATCTGACGCATATCGCGCAAGGTGTGCCGGGAGTTTGTTCGAAACTCGAACGCTTCGAAGTCTGTCGTCGGTTGGCACGTATTTCACAGAAATATTAAATCGTTTCAAGGCCCTGTTTACTAAATAATGATAAATGATACTTAGAAAACTTGTAAGAACATACTGGGCCCAAATTGCGCAAATTGTAATAAGTTTACGCTGCTAGTCTCTGGTTCGGAAAGCGTTCTACGCGTGATTTTATCGCGTTCAATGACGTTCTATTTTCGAACTAGTTGAAACCGGTATTTACGCAAGTACTTTCGAACTTCAAAAACAAATTTGATTATCGTTATTATGTGTTAGTTTCTGTTGTTTCGAATATTGATTCAGAATTAGTTATGACATTAATATTAGTAAGACTGGAGGGTGAGATTTCAACTCGAAGCACGCGTTGGGCGGGGTTACACGTCTAATGGGGTCAGTGGATGTGTTATTCCACGCATGCGTGACGTATTTAACGATGACAGGCTCGCTGAAAGGTCTGGATGCATATCTACTCCAGAATCAATAAAATCTGCGAATGCACAATTAGTGTAAGATTGCAAATGACCATTCGTTGCACGTATAATTGTTTTAAACCATAAAGTATTACAATTAATAGTACAGTTTAAAGAACCAACGTTTGTACTGTGATGAGGAACATAATACGTAGCTCTATTTGAGCTTGTAAACTTGCTATTCACAGTGTATACATTCATTGCACACATTTATTCGCTTTACTGTCTTATCAAGAAATTAAAGTGTTCTTATTTTGATCATGAGAAAATGCTTTTCAAAATTAATGACACTAAATTCCATTATATTTTCCATTCAAGTTATGAATAACGTCTCTCTGACTTTCAAATTAAAAAAACAAATAGTAAAGGATTTAATTTAAGTGATTCCGCGTAGTCTAGATGTAAATAAGTTTATAATAACTCTCTTGTGCAGGCGCTTTGAATTGGACCTGTATTTTAAACCGCATAGTCTGTTATTGCAATATTTTTTTTGGTTAGTGTCAATTTTATTATTTGAATGAGAGTCGCGCCACCATAAGTAAGGTTTTTACGCCACAATATATGAGCACCGAAAGAGATTCGAACTTACGACACGGCAAATACACCTTACCTTTACTGTAAGCTTCCGCGCGCTGTGGATCCATAGCTTTTTTTCTGTCGGTTTTGAATCTTTGTTGTTGATAGTTTGAACATTTCTGGTATGAAAAAAATAGTGCTTTTATTGACTATTTATTTATCGTGTTTGTGAACGTCCATATATTATTCTGTGTCAATAACATAATTATCCGAATTTCGAAGATATCAACTTTAAGAATACTAAATGTACAACAAAATGACAGCGCGTCTGCTTGCAGTAGCAATGAGATTGCCGTGATCTTGAATTCGAATCATGTGTTTTACATTGTAATATTTGCTTGCATGTACAATTTATTAGACAACCGGATATACACGCTCACTGTTAAGCTATAGCGCATTGTCCCTCCTAATTGAAATAGCGTGCAGATGAACACGCACTCACAGTGACTAAGAGATACATGCGCAATTTGAATGTCTGACGTCACAAACAACATGCAGAAGTAGGTTTGTATTTCTGATGCAGACGAACGAGGATGTAATTAAGACCCCCCAGCTGAACAGCAGTGAACTACCCAATGCGGATCGGTATTACAAATTGTTATGATTCAACTACGTGAGTCAAAAGCAACTGTAAATTTCATTAAGACAGAATGAATGAAATTCATATCAGTCGACAAGTTGATTTAATAATTGTTACATTGTTTTTTTCTAGGTGTCTTATTGGAAGAAGACCCGAGTGAATCGGAAATATTAGCTTTAGTCCTAGCCGCAAAATATGTTAATGAGAATCCTTCCATTCTGCCTTTTACCAAATTTTCATATTTCTGTTCAAGAATTTCACGACAGTTTGATAGTTTTGAATACATCCAAAATGGTAAGTATAATTTTCCGTATAATAGCAGCCGATATTTTCTCTTAAGAAATTGTTGTAATTGTTCAATCTGTTTTCAAAGTACAACATCGTATAATTTCATAGTTGTTGTAAAAATGGCCGCTGTACAGCTACGAGATTAACATCCTGGTTGCATGGAAACGAGTCTGGCTTTATTTTATTTATAGTTTTTACAATCCGTAAACAAATGAAGACAAGTCATGTCTTGAACTGTTTTATCGGATGTTATGATTTTATGATTTCTTCGCTGCAATCTCTTCCTGGCGGTCAATGCGGCGACATTTCAAACATCTTGCATGATGGGAATAGCTTTATTTTAATGTGATCGGCGGACAAACGGACAGCGTGCCAGAATATTGACCCATTATTCTACCGACATGACCAACATGAATGGTGCCGATAACTCCTGAGACCGTCTGTCCATGTGCGTATTGTAGAACTGGCGAGATTCACTGAATTATACATGTTGAAATGACATTCGTCACGACATTATTCGACAAAAAGGTTCTAATAATGCTACATAACCGTCGAATATATGTTACCATGGAAACCAAAACACAGTTGAATCTGATGGAAAGTTTGGATGGGGCATTTTGACATAAATCTTGTCTTATCGATTTAAAATATCGGTTTATGATTTAGCGACCTGAAATCATTGTAGGTATTACTGCATTACGCTGACCAAGAACGCATGGTTACGTTTCTTTTCATTATTATCTTACTTATCCGTTTATATTCAATAATTGTTTTAAAAGATTAGCTTGATTTTAAGAATGAGACTAGTATTGATGTGAGTGTCTGACGTTTGCGAGATTTAAAACATACACGGGTTTAATTAAAAATAGAAAACCATCTCAACTCGAAAATATTTCATTGTTCATTTGTTTTTTTTACTCATGGCGATGTTATTATCAAATTGCAATAACCTGCCCACGTCAATCTCAAAGTCATTTGAACGACAGTTGTTGTTATTTGAGTAGCTTGTCGGTACACGTTCTTTGAAGTTGTCGGCGGTTAGTTGCAAAGAAAAAACACCACTTAGTCAACTGAATATCTTCAGCATGTCGTATTTATTTAGTTGTTTCAGCAGACGACAACCACAATACAATGATTCGTGTAGAGCGCGGTCTAAATACTGCTCTTCATTCGTATTTAGGTATATAACTCACAAGTCGGGTGGATACATATTTTATGCAGCGCTATCTGACCCCACAATGCATCTGAAGTAGCGGATGTGATGTCACCATGTTTTCGTATTTATGATGTTCCTATCAGAAGTGAACATATCTGAAATTCAAATGCAAAAATCCAGAGAGCTTGGGGTACATAACACAAAAAATGTTCCGTTTCACCTTTAAGGTTGGAATTAGGTAGCGTGCTGCATAAAAACGAATTCCGGGAATATATTTTAGTTATCGAGCAGGGCCAAATTGTAGGAATTTTTTAATTCCATCATTTACGAGTCATTTCTGTCCAGTTTGTCGACAGGTTTCTAAGGAGATTGTAACTATGGTAGGCCCCCTAAGTTCACAAGGAGTCAGAGCATCGTATCCAATCACATCAGCGCTTCATATACCACAGATCGCAATCCTCGCGACGGATTCGTTGCTGTCCTTACACCAAACTACATTCCCATATTTGATGAAGATGACGTCACCAGATTATATTCAAAGCGCTGTTTTGGTAGATTTAGTAGAACACTTCAAGTGGACGAGGTTTGCTATTCTGACGTCACATGCAGAATACGGTTAGTTTTAATCCTCACTTTTTACACGCCATCTTTGTAATTGTGGTGTATACAAATTCCTGGTTAACAAATTTTCATAAAATACGTATAAACTCTTTGTTGAAGAAACCTGCTGCTCAATTCACTGTTAGATCATTGAGTTTTTGAAGTTGAAGAACACGTGTAATTCTGTATTCTTCAAATTATGTTTAGTAACCATGACAACGTCATTATTATTTCTAGGTGTAAACGGTCTTGTTCGTGAGTTTCATACAATGGCAGTGGAGCGTGATTGGTCGATAGTTAGCGTGGAACAATTCTGGCCAACCAATAATCGATCCGAACTGGACGTGACAGAGCAGCTAATGAATATTCGTTCAAAAGGTGTCCGCATTGTATTACTTCATTGTCATGCACTGTATGCAAATGTGGTGTTACGTCAGGCCGAGAGGTTGGGCATGACGGGTAAAGGATGGGCTTGGATAGCAACGGATATTGTTACAACAATGGTGAGAATATGTTATTTGCACACAATCCTATATCCTTGGAGAATTCGCATTACCTCGAATACTACAAACGTGCGCGTCTTTAGAACGTTTTCATTTTGTTTCGCATAATGCATCATGGGAAAAGGTCGACAAAGTAGACATTTACATAACACAATTCAGCTGAGTGTGTTTTATAAGGCATCTACTTGTTAGGGGGTTGTTCATAATATAATGAGTAAATGAAAACGTTTTATTCTTATTATAACTTAACCCCCTCCCCCACTTTGTTTATTACTGCCAAAAGGCGTGAAGCAAAAACTGACTCACTGTAGTATTAAGTGGACAGAAAAAGAAATGTCCATGATCTAAATTTAGTCATTCCTGAACTGACACGTTATAACCTATGAGGCTGAATAAAAATGTCCAAATCGTTGTTGAGACTTATCTACTGTAGGGTATATGCTGAGAATGGCAAGTCAGCAACAGGTCGGAAGTTTTGCGCAAGTTTTTGTTTTTCTGTCAGAATGATCAATCAATCAGACTTATATAGCGATGGAATCCAATGTGATACTGTTTAAAGACAATGAACAAAATGTTTAATATTAGAATACTAACAAATGGTAGACTGTTGCATGCGAGAAAGTCTGTACACCATATGATTTTGTCTTACAGAGGAGAACATTGGAGTAGGCATTTTTTCAATTTAAACAAAATGTGGGTCTGGATGGAGCAAATCAACAATATAGACATGCGCAGTATTAACAACATAATTGGTTACTAGATTCTGCATTCAATCTAAATCCGCAATTCTAGTCGCAATATTCTGGGCATGGTCAAGTGGCTTGATATGTTTTGCTGGTAGACTCTGAAAGAGAGCATTGTAATAGTCAAGCGCCATCTTTGTACTATACCATAGTATTTCCAGTACACTGATTGAATAAGGGCCAAACATTATGAGATGGTAGTCAATTATTCAATAGGTTTAGATACGATAACCTTCTCAAAAATTGTAGATAGGAAGGGCAAGCTGAACTCAAGTCTATGATGTTTGAAAACTTTACTATCGAAAAATAACTTCTTAATAATTGGCGTGATGGCTTCTGAGTTGAAAGACTGTGCAACAGGTCCATTTGTAAGGGGTGTATCAATAATTCTTCATACCAGATACCCATACACTGTGATCTCGAAATGATTATGCAGATGTCCACTGGTTGGAAGTGGAAATTGATGTGACAGGATCAAAGACATTGAATGTAGCTTGTGTGTTTGCATGGTTCAAGCTAGACTGCATGATGGTTACATTGCTACTAAAATATACTATTCAGTGTCTGGTGTATGCTAGAATATTACCAATAAACAAAATAATAAGATTTGTTTATCTGCATCACCAATGACTGGATTCGTAAAATATGTCTACTTCACATATATATAGTACGAAAAAAAATGATTCAACAATGGATTTTCAGCTTGAAATGTTAGTAACACTTTACTGAATTTATTCAGCAATTAGTGAAATAATTTCCACTGACAAATCAGTGTGTATAGTTCCAGATAGTAACAGTGATCACATATAGCAGGCAATCGTACATCTTATTTGCTAAATACAACACTAATGTTACCATATAACGTCGAAGCGCGTGAGATGCCTGCCGATTTCAAGATGGCGCCATACTACTTCCGCCCGTTGTCAGAAAACGAGTAATAGCGCCTATAATTGTCATAGCTAATAATAGCGTTATGGAAAACTGACTGATTGTCAATGTCCAAATGCATATTTATCATTTTCACTTTCATTCAATGTGAAAATTAAAATAATTTTATTTGCTCGCCAATTTACATTTCCTTTTTGAGCCGCCTTTTGATCAACGCTGTTAATCGTAATGAAATTTTCATGTAATCTAGAATCGGTGAATGTGTGTTTGTTCACACTACAGATATACAAATTATTATCATTTGGTGTCATCTGCAACCACGAAATATTTCACGATAATCTTGTTTGCATACATTTCCGCGTCGGTGAATAAATCCTGAAAACTGCGTGACAAAATCTGCAATATGACAGTGAACGTGGCACGTGAACATGAACTCCGTCACGGGGATAAGCGTCGATGCATTGATGATACGAATGGAGAAGTGTTCATGCTTATTGGATTATCGGCCTCCGTGATAGTTTATTTGCATAATCACCTCGCTGTACATCCTGTTTCTCTCTTTATATTTTTTCAAAGCATAATTTTAAAAAAGATCACATGACATGTTCATAACACTTTCTCTGTGCAGGTAACAATAAAAACGTTTTCTCGGATTGGTAAAATATCGCACAAAAACTTGATTTAATGTAAATAATTTTGGAGCCATGGTTGTTTTACCTTGCCCGATCATCATTAGGTGAAGGCATATGAGGAGGAAATGTCTGTCCTCGTCCTCGTCGTCATCGTTGATGTTGTTTTTGTTCTTGTCGTCGTCGTCTTATTCGGCGTAAACCTCATTTTCTTTGGTTCACTCTAACAGTACAGTTTATTATTAGGGCTACAGTCTTTCTGTTTCATTCAGTCTATAAACAAAACAAATAATAACAAATAATCTAGACATTTATACATTATTAATGATGAAACACAAATGTAGTAGTATATCTACTCTCCAAAGTCCAATACTAGATAGTGTAGTAATACGATATGTCATTTTATTTATGTAGTGTAAATCACCCTCTTCTCGCCAAAACTTGACAAGAACTCTTCATGCCAAAAGTTGGTCAGTATCTTTTTATCCAAACTGAATCGAACGTGCCAAAACATTCACTCAAGATAAACCAAAGTTGTTTTACATACATCGCACACCAAACGACGACTATTTTAACCCAAAATTAAACAATGCTAGTAGAACTTCAAAAATTTTTGGTGAACCTAAAACAGCACAATTCGTTGATAGATAAGAATATTAATATCCAACACATGAAAATATGCCACATAAAAGTTGTTACTGTTGCAGTAATATTAATTGAGGAAGATGTATATTAAATAATGTTATTATGATAACAATTTTTGGTCAGAATTATTCGCACGTAAATTGTAGACAGTATTTCCCGTACAAAATTTTTTTTAGATATATTTATTCTATTCTATTGTCTCTGAACTTGTATTTCGATTTTGAAGGAAAAGATCGTACCAGGAAGCAAGTACATCGTTAATTTGTATCCGCTATTGGATTGAGTTATTTTTTGGTATATAATATCTAGATTCTCAGTGGGAAAGGTTGTAATAGTTACGCTATGTTTTCCCGTGACCGTGCTGTTTATATTTACTCACAACTGTCATTTTTATAACTCAGCCCGGACTGTACGACACGAATGGCACGATACCATCTTTTTTATTGGGAATGGTTGGAACGAGGCCGTCCATTGGGAATGGCGAATTAGCAGAAGTCTTACATAAATACTGGAATGTGTACAATGGAACGTTTCCAATACAGGTAAGTCGAACAATCTTATTGGTTATTTAGGGTGATATAATTTAACGCATGAAGATATCATCTAGATATTTTTACTCTATTTTCAACGTGTCGAACGACGGTGATATATTTATTGGTGGCAGGACATTGGGGAGAGGTGAGAGGAGGGGTGGTGTATAACCACGTCGGTCGTCACGGTGTTCCATTCTAATCGCGATACCGTTCATATGATATTGACGTTGAGCTGCGAATCCTGTAAACAAATCGATTTATCGCGCATGAGATTTAATAATTTAAACCACATTCAAGAATCGTGTCAGTTTTTTGGCTTTTGTCGTGCACATTTTTTTTATTCTGAGAATACAAATATAGAAACAAACACAACCTACATGTATATGTGTTTATAAAATGAAATATTGACAAACCTGTAATATATTGTATTGGACAAATGTAGCCTGTGAAACCCCGGCAATATTGTTCGGTGTTATCATAGCAAGATGGATGTGTGCTGACGTGACATACATCGAACTGTAAAATAGATTCCTGACAACAAAGTGTAAATTTGACCTATTTAGCATACGGTGCTGTTCTCGCTGTATTCAGACTAATGGATCATTGAAAGAATGCCCAGTAATGCTATTTAGTAGCTCTTTATCTAAGACTCGTTAACGTCAGTGTAATTCACAGGTTGATGACCCATGACATTCAGCATGGTCGTCTCTCAAATGAAACGTCAAATGCGTGTTCCATACTGAAGGCTAATCAAACAAAATAAGGCACCGACACGTGCTCGTGCAAATATAGCTGACCTATTGTGAGATACGATTACCCAACGTTCTAACATTCTCTCTTATATCACGCCACAGTAATATTTTTTTAAGTAACTTTATGGTGAGAACAATCTCAATAAAAAATGAATATATCGGAAACTGTTTTATTCACGTGGAATTGTTGCGTGCAACGTTTTAATTAAATGTGATTGTTATGATCATAAATTTATTTGGCAGACTCTGTCACTGCGCATGCGTATCGTCTTTTGATTTTTGTCTTTTCTCTGTTCCGGTTTAGTAGCGTCTGTCGCCAATTGTGGTTGTCTACAGCTCGAGACTACGATTGTCTGTGTTGATAAAAATGGGTCAATACCCCATACATGAATTGGTGTTGATTTTAATAAAAAAAAAAACGTTTGTAATTGCTTTTCCAAGTTTGTATACGCCCATAAGATATCATGTGAAATTACTCATTATGTAAAAACATTTTAGTGCATATCGTGAAAATATTATACACTTAGTAAAAATTATTAAATTTGAATTACAAAATGCCGGTAGTTCAGTGAGTATTCTGTGACATTTTCTGTGTGGGTCACATGTCGAATTTAGTGATCGTATCTTAAATGTCAGAGGTCACACCAGATACTATAGATTTGATATTTACCGCACTGTGCATCACCAATGGGAGGGTTTTCTGGTCGAATTTACATTTAAATGTAGTTTTCTCCCTGATTTCAATAATTGGAGTCAATGCTACTGGGATACATGTACCGACAATTTAGAAAACAAAATAGCCAACGCTGAACATTTTGAGAAACAATATTCTTGTGGAAATGACGACATTCTCGTTTGGTTTCTATGGTGACGGTAATCCTTTACATCAATATTTTCTGCTTTGGTGATATGAACTGGAAAGTCACATATTATTAATATTGATATGAAACTTAATATTGTTAACTTGAATTTTTTTTTAAAATTACAAATAATATTGTGAATTACCAAATGGATACTCGTTGCATTCAATTACAATTGATCTAGATCTCCCATGTTGCATTGTTATATCAGTAGATTCAATTATGACGGCAAACACAAGTTAATTTATATATTCAGTGATATGCAGTCAGATCTGAAATTGCTCAACAGGAAGTTAACTAGGTTTGAATTTGTATAATGACCACTCTATCGCAGTCATTGAAGCATAAAATCTGGGGAAAGTTCGATTTGCGTTTAGAAATTAGCTGGCCGGCAGATAGCGTAGTGTGGTCTGCGCCAGTATGCAAAGTACTATTTCCATACATAGTGTTCGTAAAAAAAAACAAGGACAACACAAATCATATTATTAAAAATCATAACTGAAATCAGTCACATGCTTAGATAAACTCAAAGATTGACGTCATCATTGTCACGTGAGTGCAACGCTATATAAGCAACGCTGTACAACGCGATAACAGGAACATAGATACGTGTCTACGACGGTTCGCATTCAATCGTGGTAATAAAGATCATGATTGCAACATTGTATGCGTTTGCCAGAGACGCGTTTGTTATCATTTGCATCCCATGGTGCTTTGCGAATATGTAGACATTGTGGGTCACTTTTTTTAGGAAGCCTAGAATGGAAAGCGAGGGCAGTTTATAGGCTATTTAATGAACTAAATTTCAAAAATTCAAATAGCTAAGGGAAATTCTGTATATTCTAGAATAAGTTGCGTCCGTAATGCAATGGATTAACAGCCGGAAGCTTAAATAAACTACACATGTCCCCGGGTAATGTTACGGCATACTCTGCTTAGTTTTGATGGCATGTAAAGAGCCTCGGGTGTAACGCCACATGACTTGAATACTAATGAGCGCAGAGCAACGATTATACAGTAACGAGGAGAAGTAGGCAAATGGGGAATTTATTAGTCAGACGATGAAAGGGAGAGATTGAACGAATTATGTCTGCATACAATCATAGTTAGAACTCAACAAAACTGTCGTGTCATGGTATCCTTGGCGGGAGACAAGGTCAAAGGAAAAAGAAAATATGTCACTCCATTGCGGGGATGAAAAAAGCGATTATGACGGCACCGGATTTCTTTATTACCTCAGTAATGTATTTGTTACATATTTTAAATACAGGGATATATGAAATGCCATAATAATGAGGTCACAACTGGACGCGGTTGCAATGAACAAATGACGTTTACGGCATTTACGGTCATAAAGCCCCAAATTGTCAATATGGTTCATGTGGCAGAATACGATGTATACGTGTTACACCTACATACTAATAGTTTTTACATAAAAGCGTCAAGGGAGACTTGAAATGTCTGGAAATAATTGAGTCTGGTATAAAAAATACATTATTAGTGACATTTTGGAGGGAGTCACACGGGAGGGTGTCGGGTCGAAGAGTTTGGTTCTCACCCCAGAACGTTTACCGGTCATCGTTGTTAGCGACTTTGACAGAAAGCTGCAAGTACAGAAGATCTGGTGTTTCGTAACTCCCTGTGATTTTCTGTACTGACCGCCATCGCCATCAGTCATTGTGTTATGTACAGACATTTGTAATTCCGATTTACGTCATTCCGTTAATTGTATTAATGCTGTAATTGTTTTACTATGTATGAATAAGTAGTTGAATTCTGAAGCAAAAGAAGGAATTAATTTCAGTAATAATGCCCAGCATACTAAAAATGGACGACCATTTTATTCCCATAATGCATCATGCATAAACGTTCTGTTTTATAAAAGACGAATACTATTGACGTCATATCCACATAACCAGCGTCCATGATGTCATCATTTCTACGTAGTTTCGCTTCTGTCAATGTTCATTTGACAACATGACGTAATAAAATTAGTCCAATCACCATCGTACACCAAGTATTAACTATCGATCATTCTTTTCCGATTTTTATTTTTAATAAAACATTTCCTTTTTCATGAGTGTAAATTTGTAACGAGCATCGCCGACTACTGAAATGTGGACATTCAAGTTGTAAACATAGTTTATGCGACATATACCGACGTTGTACATTAAACCACTTGCAACTTGAGAGGGCACCGTGACAATCTATTAAAATCTAGTTTCATCAAGCGAATGTCCGGAATTACGATGATAACTTACCGTGGCCCTGGGATAAATGCCATCTTGAGGGGCTTAGCCTCTATCTGACGTTCTCTCACTGATGATTTTATACGTTATCGTGCGAAGGAAGGGAAGAGCAATTACTGGGCCCATAGTTTCCACGTCGCATTTTATATAACATTATACTTGTTTAAACAAAACAATGTTCAAAATCACAGCTATTGTCCCTTTAAAATGATTTACGCTGAGGTCTGATTATTTTATTTTTATTTAGCCCCCCCCCCTCCCACAAATTATATGGTTGCTGCACATAATCCACCGTAAGGTACGCTATTTGATGCATGATATTTTGCGTTGATTGTGTATCTCTATTAAAAACACTGTGGTGATGAGAAGCAACTGGAAGCACGGGCGAAATAAAAACGTCAAAACCAATGATACATTTATAGGGGCGGGCGATTGGGACGTACTTTCTTTTACCTACAATGCAGTGCGGAATGACGTCATTTATAGTTTGCTAAAAGTGATTACTCTCCGCCATGTACTCCAGTATGGTTTATTTCAAAATACCCCCTGAATCTAACTGACACATTCCTAAGCTACATGCAATTTATAACCCCTTCAAAATTGACACCAACGTAATAAACATCGCCCAATTACGTTGTACTTATGTGAATCAGCTTCATTTCTTTAATCCAGCTCCCCCGAAGGAGTTGAATAATTTCCTGGTACACGGCCGCTGTACATGGATTGACTAGCTAGTTTACCACGTCGCTATCTTTTAACGCACTTGTGTTATAAAATAACAGCGATGATGTCATCGGCCTTTCCTAACATTGCCAACATGGCATATCGATTATTTGTAAACCTTTCAAATCCCGATGTATTCTTCAACCTTTAGTCAGAACTGATAAATACTATTTATGTATGCATTGCGAGGACTGTAAATGTAAATATGAATGAATAAACTCACTGGGAAACGAACGGTCTACAACTGGCAGTGATGTTGTGTGACAGTGCCCTCGCCGATGGATGTCGCAAATACTTTCGCGAGGTGTGATGTAGAATTAAGTTAGGAGTTTCATGTTTGAAAACAAGTAAATTAGGCGCAATCAATTTTACCAAAATGGACTGCCGCGATAATAATGCCAATGTGTTAGAAATTATGTGAATAATTACTAATATAGATGCATAGAGGCTTTTAAATGTTCTAAGTAAGATTTTCACGTCAATATTTAAAAATAAATCAAATATTTGCAAATTGGTCAAACTCTATTTATGCAATTACAGAGAATGGCTTCTGTAAAAACCACGCTACAGTTGATAATATATTTCTACCGCAGGCCTTAATTCAACAATATTTAAGTAAAACAAGTTGTGTGGACAAGTTTTCCGTATACTATGAGTTCCCGCGTTACGTAGGCGCAACACGTATGCAGCGCATTCCGTCAGACGAACCATATTGACAGATTGAGACGACGTGAACGTAAAAACACGACAAACAAAGGTCCTAGCGTCGTAATGACGTCAAAGCATCGCGTGGGATTCGACAAATAATGAGCTGTACACATTTGATGATGATGTACAATTTTGATGACGTAATGGTATATCAACGCAATATCCTCCTCTCAATGATCAGTATTTTGAAATCAAATCATTCGATTTTTGCTGCGGACGTCCGATCCGCACCTTTCAGGCAATATACGAGTGTTTCGACTATATTCAGAATGAGATCATGATTAATCATAAATTGATTCAGTATTTATTATTTAAATTCATTATACAATCATTATGCGTTCACCTGCAGCAACCTTTTGCAAATAATAATAAAATTACCACAAATCGTAAACAAATGTACTGATCATAGTGTAATGAAAATCTCTAAAAAAGATCAGAAAACATCGGCCATGTTGTAGGGAGATATTGGTCTTAAAAATTACCAAAAAACGCTATTTTTAAGTAAAAGGGCATTTTTTGTTAATTCAGGACAAAAATTTCTAAGATACCCATTTATACACACTAATTAAAAATGTATAGTAATAGTACAAGTAAAAATGATGTTTTTTGTCAGAGTTTTACCGTTGCACACTATGTTTCGTTGCAGCCATTCGTATACCATATATTCGATGCCATCTTAGCAGTCGCTTATGCTCTGACAGAGTATTTCGAAGATGGGTTGCCATGGTCACCGCCAAATTACACTAGAAAAGTTTGTGCTGATGAGGAGTCGTTGCCATGGGTACACGGATCAGTCTTGATGCAGTATTTAGAACAGGTAGTGTTACTCACCTTTCGGCATCTTCAGAATTGTACGGGTTTACAAGATTAAACCGAATTAGTAACTTCGAATAGGTATGGCCCCTAAAGGCTTGACTATCTGATGGAAAAGTGTATGCAAGACTATTACCCTGACTCGGATCGTTGAAAAACATCATTTGAATATCAAAAAACAAAACAAAATGCCACGTATTTAACAGAGCCAAGGCTAAAAAATGAGTTGTTAAAAACAGTTGTTGCCTTACCCAAGCTTGACACGAATACCTACCATTGTATATAATCTATGTGCCGCCCTCACGCACTAAACCGCACACAACCAACGCCTAGGAACGATGCTAGTAATTGTTAACTGGGGTCAGCTATTGACCCTAAATATGATTGGCTAATGAAAAATGGCGTCAAATCACCACGTGAATCACCGCGGTCATATTTCAAACTGATCAATGGTCAATTAGTATTTTATTTTTTCACTACCGCCTGTGACGTCACATAGTATGTGACAGTTACATAATCTAAATGTACAATGAGCTATTTCTGGCATCGTTCCTAGGCAATATCGTGAATGGTTATGGCTATTGTATAACGGACACGTTCATATTTTGCAGCATTTCTAAATAGTCTGACGACAAGTATTGCTTATGTTATAGGTTAGTGGCCCAGGGACAGCTAGATATTTGAATTTCACCCATACAAGGACGCCGGCTGTCACCGTGTATGATATTGTTAATTTCAAGGCGAATGGCACAATACAGGTAAGTACAGTAACATTAATTAAAGGTAGTATAATCCAAGAGTTCCAGCATGGCATTGTGGGATACTATCACTATCTTTCGCTCGCGTTAAAATGTCAGGATAACAATATTAATCTCTCGGGAGTGACGCAACACTTTTCTTAATATGGGTTTTCGCGTAAATATTTCTGGTTCAGAGTTTAATTTTCTTCTAAAGTGTCTCCATTTAAAGTTATTTTACAATTTCACTAACAACAGAAGTCACGGTCATACCCCCCCTAATATACCCCCCCTAATCGAGCCTGGGAATGCTAGCGAGTACATATAAATACACACATGTTTCCGAGAAAACTGGAGACGTAGATAATATCATAATTTTTGATATTAAAATTTTAATAATGTGTCTAGATAAAGTTTTACAATATTCACACTAAATCGATAGATTAGGGCATTATACCGTAAGACCATAGAAATGATCCAGCAAATTACTGTAAGGTACTAAACCGTACCAGTGACCACAATTAACAATAGATATATACATATTAGAATAGACAAGAATCGTAATTGTTTAATTTTCATCGTCCGCTCTCATGGTTTCATATCTGTACAGACATTTATCTCTCCACACTGGAACACTGCAGTGGTGAACGTTATAAACGTTTTATACAAAATAAAAAAAGTGTTGTGACATCATAGCGATTATGCATAATTAGTTCAACGACATCCAATAAGTGTAACTTTATCTTCCCAGATTGGAGAGTGGCGGACAAAGGGAGATATCGACGTGAACTCCTCATTGATAACGTTCATGGGTGCGACAGAGGAAGCACCGGTGGACAACGACTATGATCTTAGCAATACTACACTGATTATTACGACCATATTGGTGAGTTTGATGATTTTTTTAAATACATTTAGTGACTTTTATGTATTACAAAAATGTATATGTTACGGGTATGCAAATTGGAGTGGTATGCCTATTTGGAGTCACTCAACTTACGTGATAATCCCACAATCGCAAGACAAGTTCGAGTCCGTAAAAAGTAACAGTCAGTGTTCGTCTCAAGCTGTTGGTTCCAGTGCCCCTGCGTGTTTCAGTATTTTGATAGACAGTCTTGAACAGTTCTGTTTCTACAAGCGAACCATTCCCAGCATCCATTGCTTTGTGTGATCACAGTCACTCTACTAGGAGAGTGACTGTGGTGTGATGCCATTGTCTAGGTCAGACTCCTGAAAGAGACTACGAGAAATAACAACAAATTTGAATAACTGTCAGGATTACGATAACTGTATTACAACTTTATTACAACACTACTGAGGGCATAGTATGGTAAATTACCAAAACATAGCCCAAGAACAAATAATGAAACAACAAGTTAATCCACAAATACAGTATTCAGATAACTTGCTAAAAGAAGATGATGATTCGTAATTTATATGAAGTCAACATCACTCACAAAATATTTCAATAGCACGATAGATAATAAGTTAATTATATCGGCGAACTTGGAAGTGGTCAAGAAAATAATAGACCAGCCTATAATTTTTTTGCAACGTAGCAGTATATTCTTAAGAACATCTCCAACGGTGTCAATTTCAGCAAAATGACAGTCCTATTTCACGCTGTGTACAGTGAAAGCCACTCAGATTCAAACGCAATGAGTGAATGGAACCATTTTCATATGTTTTGCGTGGATTTTGATTTAAACCGATATCAGATTTCGAGCAAAAAAGATGACGGTGTATTATTGAATCCTGTTTTCTGAGTGCATGTACTTTGTTTATTTCGGCACCCGCTGTAAGACATTGTGTTCAGAGTCGGAAGAGTTGCTCACTAGAATACATGTATTCGTGTCTCAGGAGGAACCGTTTATGATGGTCAGAAGCGATAACACAACCGGAAATGACAGATTTCACGGATTTTGCAAAGATTTACTGGACAAATTACAAATGGCGTTACAATTTGAGTACGAATTAGAACTGGTGCCTGATGGGAATTTTGGATCACTTGACCCTGAAACTGGCGAGTGGAATGGTATGGTGCGGCAGTTGAAAGAGCGGGTAAGGCGCTGTAATATATACCTTTACCGGTTTCTGTTGCCATGGCAATTATGTTCGTTTTGAGGCAGATCATATGAAAATAATAATTGAATTTCAATAGTGTAAGCGTAGAGTGAACTGTCGATGGCGACGAGCTCTACCGCCTGAAGTTAAATGTTAACCACTGAGAAATATTTTACCTCCGAAATACTGGTTGTCATAGATACAAAGTTGCTAACACCTGTTTCTTGATTTGTTTTACAGGAAGTCGATTGGGCTGTTGCTCCTTTTACCATTAGTTACGAGCGACAGCAAACGATCGATTTCACCAAACCTTATCTGGACTTGGGATTGACTATTTTACTCGGACACGAGAAAAAAGAGAGACGACTCTTTCAGTTTTTAGAGCCGTTCAGTACCGACTTGTGGATCGCTATCTTCGTCTCCATGGTAGCGTGTGGAGTGGGCGTCTCGCTATGTAGCTATTTCAGTCCGTACGGCTTCCATGGCATGTATATTCAGCGGATTGATTTGAGTGAACAGCGTTCGTATAGCTCACGCAAACTGATGTCGCTTCCCCAGGCGTTCTGGTTCGCCTTCGCCTCGTGGACCCATCAGGTCGGTAAATCGTTATTGTGTTATCCTTAACTTACATCTATTGAATTACATCGAATTAGTCACGCATAAAAAAGTATTTGTTTCATCAATTAATATACTAAGTAACCATGTGCTCGAATTACTGGTACGTACTATTAATTCCACCTGCATGCGTGGTTTATTATTCCACTAAACATATATATGTTTTGTGTTCTACAACACATAATGTAAAATAAAAAAAAATCTATTGTCATTAATTGCAAAAATTAAATTTCGAGAAATCTTAAGTAATAATAATATTTGAGCATATTTGATTTTAGGGGGCCGAGTACACGCCACGTTGTTTATCTGGTCGCGTAGTTGGAGGGTTTTGGTGGCTAGCTGTCACTGTCATCATCGCCACGTATACAGCTAATTTAGCAGCGTATTTGACTGCGGCGAGATTGAACAGCGGTAAGTTGTCATAAGTCACGTGTGTTTGTGTTCCGTTTTTAAAAGCATATTTATACCGATACTGGTTGTGATCACATTGAACTGAAATGGACACAGGACACGAAAACTGATCGTACTAACAATATATTTCAAATATAAACCGGAAAACGATAAATATTTTGAAGTGCGACTTTTTATCAGAAACTAATTTCGGAACCCATACCTGTGAGCACGCAACTACGCCGTTTGGTAATTGTTGTTGCGTGTAACGTATTGGGCAAAGGCCCTTTATCAGAGGCATACGAGTAGACAGCACAGTTTGTTGCCCGCTAAATGTTGGCATTGTTTTCTTTCCAGGTATTAATTCTATCGACGACTTAGCTAATTCTGATATCTACTTTGGCACCGTAGCTGACAGTCAACCGCAGTCGTTTTTCGAACAATCGGACTCCGATCCTTACCGACGAATGTCATCCCTCATGCAGGCCTACGACACCCTGGTTGACGACTCCGTGGCGGGAATCAACAAAGTCCGTAATGGGAAATACGCATTTATCTGGGACTCTGCAGTTTTGGACTACGCAGCGAGTAAACCACCTTGCGATGTGCGAACGGTGGGGGCGACATTCGCTAAGATTGGATACGGGATTGGTCTACAATTAAATTCTCCGCATACCGAGAGGGTTACACTGGAAATTTTAAGACTACGTCAAAAAGGATTTATTGATAAATTGAACCAGAAATATTTTAAAGGAGATTGTCAGAATGTTGGCGGTACGTAATGTTTGTGTCAGTATATGATTGTATAGTGTATGTATTGACCAGATCTGTCTTTATTTTCCTAGGTCTAAAAGTTTGGTCTGATGTAGCCGTATTCACGAACGCCAGTCGATTTGTGATGTATTCATCAGCACGCTTCACACTCAAGTAACGAACCGATGCTTACCGAGTCGAGCAGCAATATTACATACATGTATATTTATCTATAATCAATCCGCATGGCAGCACCACCAGTAGAAGTCTGCAAATAAACGCCCTCTAGCGACAACGTTCTCCTGTGACGTCAATATGATATAAATTGGTGAAAGCAATATCTTTCAAAGCGATATTTTTTTAAAGAAAATAATTAATTCCCCTAAAACATGTAGCTACAGGTGAAAATAATATCGACGCCGTGAATGGCCTTCTTTCAGGTTTCACCCATTTACGTCATCCAATTTCGTCGCTAGAGGGCGCTGGTAATAAGAAAGTATGCCTCGCTGTTATTTTTGAAACAAAATTACCAGAAACAATATAATATACACTTTGTCAACTTGAATAATTATTTACATTAATGTTATATGCCGTTGTTTATCTGTTTTTCCTAGATGGGTCCACGCCCGGTGAAACGACGCTAAATTTCCATGGTATGGCTGGCGTGTTCTACTGTTTATTTGGCGGGTTTGCTGTTGGTTTGTTAGTAGTGGTTATTGAATGGTGTTGGGCTGCATATAGAGAAAGACGTGACCACAAACAAATGGTACGTATAAACTGGCGTAGAGGGCAGCAGACTATTGGCGATAGTTGAGCAATTATAACATGGCGTTTTCGCATTGGTATTTAGAATGAAGTACGGTGGATGTCAGTACAAGTCTTTCGAAACATCATCATTTGTTTGTATACTTTGATGCACTTATTTTTTTAAATGCATTTTCCATGTTTTTGGTTGTAGTTGCGTTCATAACTGTGTTTTTGCTATGCAATTTTTGATTTACGGTAAGGGTATGTTTCCACTGGCTTATATACAGTATATGCTAATGAACTTGATGATATTTTGATAAATGTTTTTTTTATTTTACTAGTTTTTTATTTTATTTTATGTATCCACTCAAGAAATTCCTTACACGCTTTAAAGGGCGGCGGTCATCGAGCCGCGGCGTGTTCGATGTGGGACTCATAGCGACGTACACAACGCGTGTAAAACAGCGTTTTCACCTGAATCACAGATCATTTTAAAACCTTATCTTGTTGCTACCTTATTGAAGTAACTCTGGTTTGGATGTCTGGTGTCATTTACATTTTTATGCAGTTACGTAATTTTTTATTTCTAGACCTGGTGCCAGGCAGCGTCGAGAAGAGCGGCTAGAACCAGAGATGACTTTGTTGAAACGTGCCTCTGTTGTGGTATGCACCCAGAAGATGAAATAACGGACAGACAAACGGGGACTGAAAATGGTCACACGATTCCTGACTACGAGTATGAATCGCCGGGACTAGAAGAATGTCCACTGCGGTCACAATTGTCAATAAAATCACCAAATAGGCAATATCGACTTAACTCTTGTTCGTTTGAAACGACAGAATCTATTATGTAGAACACTGAGGGCGCAACTGCACACGTTTTTGTCCTCTTCCAATAATGCTGATACGGTCTTTGGCTAACAGACGTTTCTTACTGGGTTGAAATGACTGAACTATTTATATGAACAATCAGTATAATTTGTTTTGGAAAAAAATACATAAAAACTATAGAGGGCGCACGTCCTCATTCAGAATGGTGTAATGTCTCGTCAGTAAGGGCACACTTTGTTGCCATTTTATATTTTTATAGACGTAATATTTCGTAACACTTCTATTATATTTATAGGAAATATGAATATTACTGCTGCAAACTTTGTTTTCATTGCTGGCCAAAAAACGAAGCGACTAAAGTTTGTATAGCTTGGAACTGAGAACAAATATTGAAATTCTACAATTTAGTGTCTTTTAATACCTGCGGCTGATATTTACTATGACGTCAACAAACCCAGTTCAAATCATAGAACGATTAATGTTTAATGTTGTGTAAAATGTTTGTTTTATTGTAAAATATTTTGTTTTCTATAAAGACATTTTATAAAAAAAAACCTAATAATATCAAGTTATTTGAAACACTATTTTGGGACAAGTTTATTTTATTTATTCAAACCATCTTGAACGTTCCATCTTACTGCCTCCACATATTCGTCGAGAGAGAAGGGGGTGAATGGATACACCCATGCAAGCAACTTGTGTCTTGTGGATGCATGAACAAAACACAATTACCTCATGGCAATGTGAATTAATTAGAAATTAAGAATCTACAAAAAAAAAAAAGACTGGTAATCTTTTTTTTTTTTTACTTTACTCAGAATCTACGATTTCTTTTGATTTTACGTTAGCCTACTTTACATTACATTACCCACCCTCCGAGGGGGGTCTTTCCCCATCCCAGTCAGCATTTGTACTTATTCCAAGCTTGTAGGTTAGGTTTTCTTTGACACGCCTTGAATGTCATTATTCCATTATACATTTTAGTAAAGTTTACTTCAGTTTCTTGTCCCATGTGCAAAAACTATGGACTAGGTCTTAAAAATTGGTGTTGGTATTGGCATTTAGGGAAATTCCTGTGCATATACAGCCAGCAACGCCTTCCAACACTCAGACCACAAGCATGTTGAAAAAGAAAATTACTCGTCTCTGAAATTTTTAAAGAACTAGCAAATCTATTAATCAAACAGCTCAACTTGGCTGCATCTTGTGTGTGGTTGACCAGTGACAATTGTGGCTGACCAGTGACAATTGTGGTTGACCAGCGACAATTGGACACTCAACTGGATACCAGCAACATACTGGACAAATTTCCTTATACACTAGGCACGTTACTGAGCCAGAAACTAATTACTTTGAGTTGACAACTGCCTACATCTAACATAACTGCTAATGACTTGCATAGTCAATTAATAATGGACAAAAACATTTATCAGAATAACTTGTTTATTTTACAGTATACATCAATTGAACAAATTAATGTCAAGGCAATATCAACCAATCAAACCGTGGTGATGTTATACAGCTTCAAAATAAATGTTAAAATTATTAAAATCCTGACCACTGTACAGAGCCATATTGTAACCAGCAGAATTGCTCTTGCACTATAAAGTTAACATGGTTAGCCTGGTTATCTTCCTTTTATTTTGTGGTTCATAAACAGTCACAAAATGGCGGGAGAAAGACCCACAAAATAACAGGAATCTAACCAGGCTAATACTGTATAAACTACTTTATTCTAGCTTGAAATAATATTTGCTGAAAAGACTTTTTGGGGTTTTTTGTATGGAATTTATATTCACTGATTTCTGACCAGTTGAATGTAAAATATTGGGAAAAAAGGTACATTTGCTGGATTTTATTTTCACTGAATCATTCCTTCAGCAAAAATAGCGATAATTAATTCCAAGCGAAAATAAAATATTTTGCAGTACAAAGTGTGTGAGTCCCCCCATTCAATTCTCCCAAGTATACTGTAGTATACAAGCATTGTGGGTAAAGTGAACCATGCTTTGTGCAATCATAGACCTTAACTCACAATATTTGATTAAAAATTTCATTAAATAAAAAGAAATTATATAATGGCAGTAACAATTTTGACATAAAAATTTTCAATAAATATCTAATAAAATTATACAGTTTAACATATTTTAAAAATCAACAAAATTGTAGTCAACTCACTCCAAACTTGTTTCAAGAGCACCACCAACACAAGGAGGACTATTGGCTCAAATATTAAATCTTGAGAATAAATCTAATTTAAAATTATACACATGATTAGATTAAATAGTAACAAATTTACCAATGTCAGATTTTTATTCTGAAATGGTACAAATTTATGTTTATTTACCCTCAACAACATTTTTGGTAATGACATGAATGCTTAAACAGGTGTACCAAAACATCCAGAGAGTCAATCTACTTTCTGAATTCTCAAGTGAGAATGTGGGGTGTTTAAGATTCAAAGAAAATCAAACTCTCAGAATAAAACTTGTCTTAATTGTTAAACCTCTACTCTGTATATAGTTCAGAATCCAAAAACTGATAGACAAGAAATTACTTCCCAAACTTAAATATACCATGCAAACTTATATGACACATCAAAAGTTCTTTATATTTTGTCACCTTATTAACAAATAGAATCACAATTCATAAATCTGATAATTGTAGTACTTGTGATATTTTGCTTGTTTGAGATATTTGCTTTTACATCTAAACTAATTTAATTAGCAGCTTAACTATGCTGAAACTCATCCTGGTGCACAAGAACTCAAAAATGTTTCTATGGCAAGAATGCGTGTATAAAACAATTGCAACACAGAAATTGAATTAATTGTCTGGTCATTAGAGCCTGAAGAACTGTGTCATTTGTTTCTGTCCTTTCTGTAATGGCATAGCTTTCTTTCTATTCCTCGTAACACTACTAGTTTTCTTGGATTTACTTTCTTTAACAATGTTAGTCTTGACTTCTTTATTCTTTTTGGATTTTTTTTTAGCATTTTCGACCGGTGGTTCCTCAATTTCAATTTCATCATCTCCAATTTCTTCAAGAATTCTCTTTTTCAAATCTTTTTGTTTTTTCACAATTAGAAAACTTTCTTTAGTGTTTTTTATGTTATTGGCTGTGACATCACTGGTGACATCATGCGTGGCAGACAGTGGGGCATCTTGGTATATCATCAGAGGATCCAGTGCTGGTTTTTTCAGCATGTCTTCATCAGCCCATGCCATACAAGATTGGTGACTGATTTGTTGGAATGAACTCTGTAATTCAATATATAAGCACATCATTAATGAAGAGTCTAAAACAGAATGATTGACAAAAGTTGGCAGCAATCATGAGACCAACCACTCACAAAAAGACAACAATTAATATTAATATGAGGTTATTTTGAGGATACCTCAACGTATGCAGTACAGCAGGAGTAATGACCTCCGCTGCGCATTGATCGATACTCCCGCCACGGCGTACTGCCTAAGTGCATACTTTGAGGTATCCTCATAATAGCCTTATTATTATATATCTTATCCTACCAAGGATACATCATGGGAATGACGAAATTAAAGTTTAGACACAGAATCAGCGAACTTCTTTGTGTGGAGTCTGGTCAAACCATGGTTTGTTTTATTAGAGGACGCTTACACCCGTAATAATAATTCCATATTTGGTAGGATGAAAATACCCGTAAATACCGCAAAATTACGGCACACTGTAACTTATGCCGCTACGGCGACAGATGTATAATAGTATTTACTAATTCCATATTTCAAGAATATTTTCAGGTATTTAACACCACCTACTGAAAGCCTCAACCGATAGTCTAAATGAGCGAGGGGGAAAAACATCTAGCAAGTGATATGTTGAATATACATGAAAAAGTTCTGATTTTCCTTGATTAGACAGACCCAGAATTTCCCAAATACTTTGCTCATAACAGACATTTAGTGAAAGCATTATTAGTACAGGTCTCTAAATCCATTGATTATGATTCAATACAAAGCTACATACAAGACTGTGTCTGATTGGCTACCCAACCATTACACCTGACAGTCAGACCAATCAGAGAATAGCTAGTTTGTTGACAGGTTCTTTCAAAATGTGCTTTGACTCAACTAAAACTTATTGCTCAGATGACCACGTCACCTTTTAAATTATGAAATATTTCCTTCCTATTTTTAACTACTAGTCAAAAAATTTGGCAATACAATTGTTTACCCTACCAGGTAAAGCTAAATAGATGGAAAACACAGACCCAAGTCCTTTGCATAAACCAAGGTATCCAACTACCCATCGTAGTATGATTATTGTGATTTGCTTTCTGTGCACACATGTACCAATCACAGCTGGTACTGTTTGTTCAGATTGTTTTTTCCCCCGATTAATAAAAGACATGTAGACCCCATCTTGTGCAAAGTTACACTGATATATTCCACCTGAGTGATGACGACCAGGAAGTGAATAATAACACTGCTAACCTGAGGCTTGTTGACCTTGAGGGAAACTCTTTCAATCAGTGTCTGGTTTTCTGGTTCATCTGGAGAACACTGATCAGGAGATCTATGAAGTAGTATAGAAATATTAACAATTCAAGTTACAGCTACACCACTTGTATATTTGAAACAAACATTAACTAAGAAATGGTAATATGCAAATTGTGTTAATTCGTACATAGCGATTCTGTGTCATTTATAGCAGAATTTAGTTTGTTTATTTCACCAGGAAATGTATAAAATAATCCTATACACCATAATAGTGATTCTAGTGAGGACCACAGATATAGTTCATTCAAACTACTGTAAACTACTTTATTTTAGCTGGAATTAATTTTCACTGAAAGAACTTTTTGGGTGTTTTGTATGGAATTTATTTTCACTGATTTTTGATGAGTTGAATGTAAAATATAGGAAAAAAAAGTACAATCGCTGGATTTTATTTTCACTGAATCATTCCTTCAACGAAAATAGCAACAATTAATTCCAAGCGAAAATATATTGTACAGTAGTCTTAGTTTGTGGCCCCAAAATACTGTTGTGATTAATTAATTAATTAAATGCACAGCACACATTTTGTGCAGTGAAACAGGATTTTTTTCATTTGACACAGAGCTAGACATGAGACATCCCACCAAGATAGCTGCTCATTTCTGTATGGTGTTGAAATTGCATTCTGAGAGAATTCATAGTTTTAATTTGGGTCTTAAAGGGCAGTGGTCGTTACGCCGATTCATGTTCGATATGGGACTCATAGCGACGTATACAATGTGTGTAAAAATACATTGTTTATTTACATGAAATTCATGCAACGACCACCATCCTTTAAGCATCATGCCTGAATTTCCATAAATTTCTGGGAAAACAAAACACACAATCAGTCAGGATTCTGCCTGGTTTTAAATCACTGTAGCCTGGAGTGAGTGTGTAAATCAACACATGTTGGAACAGTATTCAATAAAATAACTGAAATAATCATAAAATTTATATTTTTATTATTCATTTCTCACAATTTGCACAGATTTAGACCATCAAATATTTCACATAATTCCAATATGCCAATAAAACTCGGAATGCTGTCAAAGTGCAACTTTAAAATGCTACAGTGATCGCAAGGTACATGCTCAAATTTCAGCTATATTTTTATGTGTTGTATACACCACTATGGGTCCAACATGATTCAGTGCATCAATTTGTAATACTTTAAAGGGGAACCCGCTCAATCCCAGGGATTGAACCAACGAATCATGGGACACTATTGTTTATGTTGTTTTCAAAGTTAATCTACCTTTTGTTATCCATTGTAATTTTAATCCAGAAAGTAAATTTGTTGTGAGATTAGGCTCAACTGGAAGTGCCCCTTTAAGTAGAAAAGCGTTAGTAAAGTTTTCTACAATTAACAATGACCACCGATGTAAGTGACATAGCTTACCTAAATTGTGATAAAAGTGAGGGGAATCTTATTGGTGTTTTCTGACTGGAATAACAATCACTCAGCACAGAGACTGAATTATTACCAATATCTTGGCAACATTCATGGTCTAACAGTAAGCGCAAAAGTTTAATACTCTGGCGTCCAGCGATGCTACCTCCATTAGAAACAGACTAGAAAATAGAATATATTTTCATTTTAATAACAGAAAAGTAATAAATCAAATCTGGAATCTATAGTGATTGAATAACAACCATGAAACACAAGATGCAAAACTGAGCTCATTCCGGTGGCTAAATTTGTCTCTGCTTTAGTGGCAATAGATTCACCTCCAAGATCTAAAAGTTTTCGAGTTCCCCAAAAAATAATATAAAAATAAGATATTGTGAATCATTTTAACTTTGTGAGACATTTTCACAAGCCAGATAGCAATGAAATATTCACTTGTTCATTTTTGAGAAGAATTACTTCGATAGCCTCAAAATATCAAACTCCAAATATTTCTAATAGCAGCAAGGAGTTGTTCACAGAATGACAGATTGTAGTGGTAATCTATCTAAACCAATATTACGCAAAACTGGAATAAATCTGGTGCAGACTGTTAAATTGTAATTTCTTTATAGCAAAATCGACCGACTGAAAAATATGAAATATCGGGTTGCGTTTTTTTTTATCCCCACACACCTTGGCTATTTACGACACACTTAGTTTTCACGAGTTTAAAGAAAAACAACAAAAACGACCGACCGACCCAATTTTCCCAACTTGAGGGCAATATAAGTTGTTTTTTGTTTTTTTGGCCTAATAGACCAATCAGAGAGCAGCTTGTTTGTCAAAGTTTGTTAACGCATCAAATTCTGGCTTGTATATATATATATATAATCAACTGAGAAACACCCTTGTCAATTGACACCAGCATATCCAAGTTGTTTACATAGAAACAGTTCTGCAGTACAGTACCCTTTTAGCAACAATTATGCAGATACTCAAAATTCCTGAATATTACTTACAACTTGAGGGCTTTGTTTTGAGTTGGCATTCTTATTTGTGACAATTAACTGATCAATCTCATCATGTAGTTTCCTAGTTACCGCCTCTACACTGGATTTCCTCAACTTCACATCATTTGATTTACATATCGTATTCTTGATGACATTTAGAACTCTTCTCAAACTTGAACTGAAACAAAATTAATAAAGAAAACACAAATATTTTAAAAATATTCTTCTGTTTTTTGGCTTTATTGGCACAATTGCTGAAGCTGTTGAACTTTTGAAATCAGATTTGATACTAAAATCCACAATCAAACTTCTGTACAGTCAAACCTGCGTAAGGCAACAGCCTAAGAAACTTTATTAAAATATGTTTTATAGACTTGTGGTCTTGATTGGATTTTTTTTTACAGATCACCTACTATACAATCTGTATTAGAAACCCTGGCTTCTATTAAAATGTTACAATGCAACAGAGGAAATGTGGCTTCTATTGGAGCACCTACACATATGAGAAATGATGAATTTTTTGTTCTCAATTATTCAAAAAGAATGGGTGCGACTTCTATTAGGGATGCGGCTTTTAATACAGATTTTACGGTACTCCTATATTTTACATATTTGTCCTTATGCTCTATGGTCCAGAAAACAAAATATTGTTTAATCACACATTTTATCAATTACAAATAAGTTTAACTTGAGGTGAAATCCAAGTAGCTGGTAAGTTTTCATATCAAAGGATTAATGAGGAGTGATTAGAAACTTTAATATGGTTAATTTCCAGAGACCCTAAAGAATCTTAGTTTACAATAAATCACTCATTCTAAGTTTACAAATAAGAGCAAAGCTAGAGGCATGTCCATCCAAGTGACAAATGATTTTACAACCAGTGTGCCCAGATGCCACTGATTTGCTGTGATGCAACTATAGTATATATATAGAAACAGAAAATTGTACATTGATGTAGTCATTTGACTATAGTCATGCAATTCGTAATTTGGTAAAATAAAATTCACATTTCATAAACAAGACAAGTGTAAAACTAAAAAAAAAATCAGGTGCTACAACATTTAAGTGTGTGCCTCAATCACTTACATATACTCGTACAATTTTGATTCAGGATTCCTACAAAATCATTCCTGTTAAGAGGGCACACTATTTACAACAATAACAGTTGAGTGTGCACACAAACCAGTTCTACCATATTAGCCATGTGTATATATAATGAAGCATCATATGACATCAATATGACCGGTTCAATCAAGTACACATTTATATTCTACATAGATTCCCTGTAACTGTTACAATGCCCAAATTCATTGATATTTTAGTAGTGTAAAAAATACTTTATTTTAGGCCAGACTTTTATTATCCATTGTTTCGCGAACCCGCCAAATGAACAGAAGCCGAAAATGAAATAAAAATATAATTTTATTTCAGCATAATTTCTCGCGCCCGCCGACTTGTAAGCGCAAAAAAATGGTAAAAAAATATTATTTTTATCTTCATTTTTTTACCACCCGCCGCATAACAAATCCAAGTTACATTTTTGTGGGAGTATGATGATCAAAGTACTGAAGTCTCGCGCAGAATAGAAACAAGGTTATGGAATACAACATGGAATACAATTTTATTTCATTTCTTCTCTCCGATCAATGATCTCACTTACAATTCTTTGAGAATCACACAAATCTAATGGAAAAAAAGAATTTTAATTTTTCCCCCCAGCCTTAGCTGGAATTAATTTTCACTGAATATACTTTTTGGGCATTTTGTTTGGAATTTATTTTCACTGATTTTTGACGAGTTGAATGTGAAATATAGGAAAAAAGGTATGTTCGCTGGATTTTATTTTCACTGAATCATTCCTCCAGCGAAAATCGATTCCAAGCGAAAAATAAGTATTCTAAAGTAGTTGAAGCAATATTTTACCTTGTATCTGGATCTTCCTCTATGATTATTTGTAATTTTTGTATCATATTAACAAATTCATTCATTCCTTTGACATAAGGAGACAATGGATCGTCTGTTATTGCACATTTGATACGTATTTTCATCACAAATGAGATGGCAGTCTGCAAGGTAAAAAAGAATCTGTTATTGGTCACAATAGACCATTTTCCGTACATGCGAGAATCACGCGTTAAGCGTGAAATCGAACGTAAAAACAGAACAAACAAAGGTCATAGCGTCGTAGTCGCGTCAAACATCACGTGGGATTCGACAAACGCGAAAGTATTTTGGGGATATTTCCATGCTTAATAATGTGCTGTACACATTTGATGATAGGTAATTTTGATTAAGTGAGGGTATTCAAAAGCAATATTCCTTTGTCGAAAATCGGCCGATCGATGTGAGCTACGAAATAAAGAAATTAGAGTTCAAAATCAAATCGTTCGTTTTTTGCGGCAGGCAAAGTTTTGGAGTAAATACGGAGGCCAAAAATATGATCCTTTCTCCAAAATATGAACTAGAGCATGGTATTTGCAAAGTATTTCTTTTGTATGTTACAAGTTGTGATAAATTAGAAAGTATTCATGATTTAAAGAATTATCCATTGATTTGTTGCAATTATGATGGTACCAACATGTTTTGATATGCAACAATATTCTAAGTTAGTCAGCTAAAAGAATCCACTGATCTAAGAACTTACCAAGTCTTTCAAAACTATGATATCATACCTTTCAGACTTGATTAATTGAACCATATTAGCAATACAGCGGCGCCACCAAGTGGGGCAGATAGGGTTCTCCCTACCAGGGTGTGGAGTTTTTGATAATTCTAAGTTAAAATAGAGCATTCTATGGCTTCCTTGGGGTCAAAATTACTATCAGACAGGTCACATGTGATCCTTGGTCATTCACAATTTTATGGTTGCCAGAGGATCTACTCCCCAGGGGTAAGGGGGGCGCATGACATGAGGGCGCTGCGCCCCTGTTCCCTTGTTTAAAACTGAATAATGCAAAAATAAAAGAACAGCTTACCTGAAACATTGGCATATTTTTTTCTTTAGCCATTTTCTTTAATGCTGTAAAAGCTAGATGGTCCAGCTCCCTGTCTGGTATGTTCAAACACCTGGCTAAAGCAATCTCATTTCTAGAATTGACCAATAACGTCAAGTATGCAAATATCACTCTTCTGACAAACACCTGGGAGAAAAAATAACTTTTTTAATATTCTCTAGAATTAATTTTAGATTGTAAAGTCCTTTTACTTAAGTGGTGTATACTTAAAAAAGACAATTGAACGTAAAATATAGGAAAAAAGTTATATTCGCTGGATTTTATTTTCACTGAATCATCTCTCAGTGAAAGTAGCAAAAATAAAGTATTTTGCATTAGTTGGCATTCCTGATTAGTGTTGTAGCAGCAATTAAAAGAGAACCAATACTATAAATAGGGGCAAGATGGCCACCGCAATTAGTAGGCTAATTCGAACCAAGCCGCTCACATTGTGGGGGGAGCTTCGGGAAATGTGCCATTTATGATGTTTCAATCAAGCTATGATTCCAAATACATTTCTATGGGGGCATGAATATGTACTCTAGCGATTACACTCATCTGGTTGGGCTTTTGATGTATAAATGTTGTTGTTTTCGGTGGAAACATGCCGCGACAAGTAAAAATCCTGTGTTTAAAATGGCGGCTAATATATGCAAAATGCCTGTCAATCACAGTTTGAGTAAGCGAGCATAATAAGCATTCATTTACTTAGTGGACAGAGGCAGAGTTAATTACCAATGAGCATGTGGTGCAATCCATGGGATTGAGCAGTTCCCCTTTAACTGTGGGATCGATTAGGTCCTCCTCATAAGACTATAGAGGGCAGCATCACAAAAACAGTTCTCAGAAGAATCATAACCTATAAATAAATTACGAGAGCTTACCTCAGTAGCAGGCATTTGGGAAGATTTACTACAGGACGAACAGAGGTTTAACTGAGACCATGGCTGTCTATCAAAGAGTAGTTCAATGCCTGATGGCTTGTTGTTACTCTCCTCCAGTGGCGTTTCAACGGTTACCACAGCAACTTCATGATCACCACAAAGAAGCTGTATAAAACTTTGCTGAAATATAAATAATTTCATATAAATAATTACACAAGAAAATATAAAATCAAATCAACCCACTCTCTCAACAATGTATTTTTTTGTTTTTGTTTTCCTACTCAGTCACTGTCATAAGATCAAGAAAACACAGACTTTCAGGATGACAAATAGTCTTACCTCTAATTCTGTTTTAGTTCCACCAATCAAAATGTATTTGTTTTTTCGCAGTAACATCTTCCTGTAAGTATGTTTTAATGTGATGGTAAACGTCTGCCATGTCAGCACTGTTACATTTCACTAAATATTCATGGTACATTGTCTTTATTTCAGCAATTCTGTTCTCATCAGTATTCAGAGTATTTGATCCCATTTTCATTCTCATGATTGTTTTTGCAGTCTGTAAAACATCACTGGTGTCCACATCAAAATCACCACTGTCCTGTTAAAAAACAAATGAATGTGGTTATTTAGTATGATGAAAAAAAAAACATTTCAGGAACAAAGAAATGCTAACATTGTGCTTATTTAGTTAGAGAGTCAAAAACAATTACCTGGTTGTTCACCTTATATATTATATGTCAATATCTAACATACTGAAATCTCACAAAAAGCGATATTTGAACAAGAAGATCACTGCAGTTTCAATATGGCATTGTTTTTCGGAAAGATTGTTTTTACTTACATTCTCAATAATTATGGTGATGATATTGAAACAGGAAAAAAAGCTTTGGGTAAATTGAACAAGCAGCCATTTGGCTGAGAGCTCCACTGTTAGCAATGCACATTTCAATTAAAGAACTGAAGATATCATTAGAAAATGAACAATAATTATGTATAGTATCAAAGCAATTGTACTTGCCGTTTTCAACAAGAATTCGAAAATATCACTTTTTACCAAATATATTTATCAAAATTAGATAATTGAAAATATCATCATGAAATGAACAAATCTGAGAGGGGTCCACATGTAGTACCTATATATGTAATATCAAAGCAATCAGACTTGTGATTTTTAACAACTCGAAAATATCACTTTTTACTAAAAATGAAAAAAATATTTATCAAAATTGGAGAATTAAAGATATCAACATGAAATGAACAAATCTAAGAATGGTCCACCCAAGCTACATATACACTAAGTATCAAAGCATCCAGGCTTGTAGTTTTCAAGAAGTCGAATAAGTAAAACATTGACACGGACTACAACGACTGACAATCACTCGTATGATAAGCTCCACTCGACAAAGTCGACAGCGGATCTAAAAAATGGAATGACACTGTTTTAAAAAATTTAAAAAAAAAAAAAATGTGTTAAGATTAATACATACAACAAGCCACAGTACAGTGGTGTGTAACTTAAATTCCAAGATGGCTATCAGCTGACTTCGCCTTTACATAAAAATTTATAATTTCTAACACTAGTATTATTGTCATTAAAAATTTCAACTTACTCTTTGTGGTATTAGCCTAGGTTACTAAGGAGACATATTCAGACACTCTAACATACTTTATTTTCACTGGAATTAATTTTCGCTAAAAAGACTTTTTAGTGTGTTATATGGAATTTATTTTCACTGAATTTTGGGGAGTTGAATGTAAAATACAGGAAAAGGATACATTGGCTGGATTTTATTTTAACTGAATCATTCTTTATGAAAATAGCAAAAATTAATTTTCTAGCGAA